CATGAGCCACTGCATCTGGCTGGATTTATTTTCTTCCTCCTAGTTCCTCTTCCCTCCATGACTGGAAAGGTAAGTTCCCCAACGGCAGAGACCTGGTGGGCCTTGCCCCTCACTCTGTCTCAGCTCCTAGAAAACTGACAGACAAGGCCGGGAGCAGTGGCTCACACCTGTAATCCCAACATTTTGGGAGGCCGAGGCGGGTAGATCACCTGAAGTCAGAATTCAAGTCTAACCTGGCCAACATGGTAAAACCCTGTCTCTACTAAAAATACAGAAATTAGGCTGCTGCGGTGGCTCACACCTGTAGTTCCAGCACTTTGGGAGGCCAAAGCGGGTGGATCACCTGAGGTCAGGAGTTCAAGACCAGCCTAGCCAACATGGTGAAACCCTGTCTGTACTAAAAATACAAAAATTAGCTGGGCATGGTGGCAGGCACCTGTAATCCCAGCTACTTGGGAGGCTGAGGCAGGAGAATCTCTTGAACCTGTGAGGCGGAGGTTGCAGTGCAATCACGCCATTGCACTCCAGCCTGGGCAACAAGAGAGAAATTCCGTCTCAAAAAAACCATACCAAAACAAAACAAAAATTAGCTGGGCATGGTGGCGGGCATCTGTATTCCCAGCTACTTGGGGGGCTGAGGCAGGAGAATTGCTTGAACCCTGGAGGTGGAGGTTGTGGTGAGCTGAGATCATGCCACTGCACTCCAGCCTGGGCGACAGAGTAGGACTCTGTCTCAAAAAAAAAAAAAAAGAAAAGAAAACTAGCAGGCACATGGGGGGGTTTCGACTCTTACTGTCCAGGCAGCATAAACGATGCACTAGAACACACTGCTAGTGAGCAGCAAAGGCAGGTTCCAGTCTACCGGCTGCTGAGACCTTGTGAGAAAGTTACTTCCTCCTGCCAGTAACCGGCTTGTGCGACAGAGCCAGGCAATGCCTTCTGGTCCAGAACAGGCCTGGGGAGTACGTGGGAGTCTCTCTAGCCTAGGAAGACCACGTCCTGCGCAGCTGCTATCGAAGGCAGCATCTCTGGGAGGGGCAGCCTGACCATCCCCTTCCCCGAGATGCTCAGGTACATGACAGAGGAGAAGGGTGAGGACCTCAGCTCCAGAGACACCATTTCCAGCTCCCCACCTTTCCCACAATGTCCACATCCCCACTCACCCAGCTGCCTCCTGGAAGGCTTGGGACTGAGTCTAGGCCTGAGCCCAAGTAGCATTTTGTTTGTTTGTTTTGAGACAGAGTCTTGCTCTGTCACCCAGGCTTGAGTGCAGTGGCATGGTCTTGGCTCACTGCAACTTCCGTCTCCCCGGTTCAAGGGATTCTCCTGCCTCAGCCTCCTAAGTAGCTGGGACTGCAGTCATGTGCTACCACGCCCGGCTACTTTTTGTATTTTTAGTAGAGCTAGGGTTTCATCATGTTGGCGAGGCTGGTCTCGAACTCTTTACCTCAAGTGATCCACCCGCTTTGGCCTCCCAAAGTACTAGGGGAGTGAGCACCCAAATTGAGACACTGTACCTGGCCAGGATTTTTCTTTCTAGTGACTCTCCTAAAGCCGGAGAACGGCCATTCAGCAGCAAGGGGAGTGACTTTCCCACTACAAACTGGATTCCTGGTAGCCAGCTTCCTGGCTCCCTGTCATCGACCCACACAGTCCAGCAAGCGAGACGCGGGTCAACCTTTAAAGCCACGAGGGCTCTCACTGGATTCAAAATGATAAAAATAAAAGCCAACTGTGTATTTCCGAGGATTGAACAGGAAGTGACAATCACCATAACAGCAGAGGCTAACATTAACATAACTACGTTAGCAATTACTTTGTATTTAGTTAGTTTCAGCAATTCCTATGTATTTGAGATTCCACAGGTATTATTTTCCGGGATCCATAGCACAGAAACATGAGATTGAAAGGATTACCAAGGACTACTGCCCCTAGATGAAAGGAGGGAAAACCGAGGCCCAGAGAACTTAAGTAACTCGCCTAAGAGCACACAGCTAGAAAAGCTGACTGTTTCAAGTCTGCTTCAAACCAACCTAGTGTTCTCTTCCTAGTCAAATGACTCCTCAGGCCCTTCACCTGTAAATGGAACTAGTGACTGAGGCAGTCAACAAGACCACATAATTGGTAACATCACTTTCTGCTCAGTTAGCTTTTTCTTTTTCTTTTTCTTTTTGAGACAAGAGTCTCACTCTCTGTTGCCCAGACTGGAGTGCAGTGGCCCGCGATCTCGGCTCACTGCAACTTCCGCCTCCCAGGCTCAAAAAATTCTCGTGCCTCAGCCTCCTGAGTAGCTAGGATTACAGGCATGTGCCACCATGCCTGGCTAATTTTTTGTAGAGATAGGGTTTAACCATGCTGGCCAGGCTGGTCTCAAACTCCTGACCTCCAGGTGATCCACCCATCTCGGCCTCCCAAAGTGCTGGGATTATAGGCGTGAGCCACCACGCCCAGCCTGCTCAGTTAGCCTTTCTAAGAAGTACTAGCCGGGCGTGGTGGCTCACGCCTGTAATCCCAGCACTTTGGGAGGCTGAGGCGGGTGGATCACGAGGTCAAGAGATAAAGACCATCCTGACCAACATGGTGAAACCCCGTCTCTACTAAAAATACAAAAATTAGCCAGGCATGATGGCGCTCGCCTGTAGTCCCAGCTACTCAGGAGGCTGAGGCAGGAGAATCGCTTGAACCTGGGAGGCAGAGGCTGCAGTGAGCCGAGATCAAGCCACTGCGCTCCAGCCTGGCAACAGAGTGAGACTTTGTCTCCAAAAAAAAAAAAAAAAAAAAAAAAGTGCTGATGATCCTTCTAGCAACTTGGCATTTCTAGCTTTCTTGTTTGCTTGTTTGTTTTACTGAAAATTAATCTCCACCTGTCCTAACTTTCAAAGAGTCCCTGCCTCCTCTAAAAAGGGCCTGGGCTAGAAAAAGTACCTGGAGAAGTGAGGACCCGCCAACCCCCACCAGACTAATCTCAAACTCTTGGGGAAAAGCCTGAAATGATCCTTTTCCTTGGAATTTATTGACTAATTTAAAAGGAAACCGCTGCAGTTTGCACACCGATACTAAGCTCAAAAGCAAGACGGAGAATAACCCAAGGAGACTTGGCCTGGCTGGCTACTTAAAAAAAAAAAATTTTTTTTTCCCCGAGCTGGCAGGATATTGTCACCCTAAAAAGCAGTGGCAAAGATTCTCCTCTCACAAATATGGATAGCTTCCCCTTTCCTCTGACCGCTCCTGCCCACGTGGCCCTAGAGGCTGGGACCTTGTCAGTGACATGTGACTCGGTTGACACTCATTTGACACAAAAACATGTGTCTGGCCAAGAGAAGCGGCTTTAAAAAAATCTAAGAAATTTCCTCAGGCGCCATTTGCTCCCCCGTTCCCAGTAGGGGAGACCTCAGTGGGGAGGACCCAGAAACGTCCCATCACCAGGAACAACCCCTGCAACCCCAAACCAGGAAACATCAAGTCTCAAACAGCAGCCCAGAGAAAAGCACTCAGGTTTCTGTTCCTCTAAAGCAGTCCCTCATGATCACTCCTCCCTGCCATGAACTTTGATTTCTGCAAACCAAATCCTCCACGCTAAAGCCAAATCGATTCCTAGCTCCTCCATGAAACTCCTCCCAGAGAGAAGGTGGCAGGTTTAGGAGTGGGCTGCAGTGTTGAAATCAGGACTAGCTGACAGTTATTTTATCAAACCAAATTCAGAAACAGTAGATAGAAGGAAAAAGTTCAAAGATAAGCCATAAGCGAAATTCCTGGAAGGAATGAGGAGTCCCCGTACTGCAGGAAAAGGGCGATGTCAATGATTCTCCCCATTTTATAGGATGGAAAACCGAGGCCTCAGATGGACAGGCACTTGTCCAAGCTCTGAGTCCTGGGGACAACTGCAAGGCTCTTAAGGAAGAAGACAATCTCTTAAGGATCTGGAAGGAGGCCCGGGTGGTGGTTGCCCCACCTGGTTCCGGAGGTGGAGGTTGGGGAGACCCAGCGGGCCCCGCCCATACTTTCCCTCCTGGTCCCGCCCACCCACCTTGGCCCCGCCTCGTTCCTCCCTCGCTCCCATTGGCCCAGCCTCCCCAGGCCCGCCCCTTCGCGCCTCCCGACATATAAAAGCCCCCCGCCCCGGCCAGCCGACCTCCACTAGCCGCCGGCCTGCGAGCGCCCGCCCCTCGCGGGGGCCGGGCCGCGGGGACGGGGGCGGGTGGTGTCGTTCCAGCCGGGCCCCGGCCCCCTCCCCCACGGTCCAGACAGTCGCCGCCGCCATTTTGACCGCCCGCCCCTTCCCCCCGGACTGTGATTACAGAGACATCCACCGCCCCGGCCCCGCCGCCCGCCTCGGCCCGGCCAGCCACCCCGGGGCCGCCCCGGTTACCTCCGCTTCTCCCCACTGCTCTCTCGGAAAGGCTTTTCGGAGGTCTCGGAGTCGATGTTGGGAAGGGGACTGGACGTGCTGGGGTCCCCGGGCCAGGCCGGGGGGGTGGGGGTGAGGGTAGGCCGGGCGGTTGTTGTTGTTGACTCGCGTTGCCGGGTTGCTTGGTCGCCACGACTACCGTGGCTATGGCGCCTCCGTTTCCCTCACCGGGGCAACTGTTGCTACCCACCCTACTTACGTCACGCGCTGGGGGCGGGGCCCCGGGTGATTGGCGGCGCCAGGAAAAGTGATTGGACGGCGCCAGGCCTTGCAGATAAACTATTGGTCCCAATGCATGCTTTTCAACACCCTCTGGACTTCCCAGCGATCTGATTCATCGGTATGAATGTCTATCAAAAGAAACTGAACCCTCAAAGGCAGCCGGGCCCGTCACTCCCGCAGGAAGCAGCTGGCTAAGAATAAAGGGGTGGGACTTGTGAGGACGGGATTGGTTTGCCGCTGTAAAATCGACCTCCTGGTTCGACTAAAAGGACGTCAATCTACCAAAGGTTTGCCGCGCTCTCTAGCTGGAGGTCGTGCGCATGCTTGGCACGCAAGGCCGATTGGGAGTTGTAGTTCGCTCCTGCGTATCCTTTACATGTCTTACCAAATTAAAAAGGCGAGAAAGGAAGGCTCCGCTCCAGATTTCTCTCTCGCTCGGTGGGCCAGTTTCTGGCCTCTTGCGCTGACGTCAAGGGAGGAATGCGGTGACGCAGCGCAGACCCTCTGTGACGACAGCAGCGAAGGCCGGGCTCGGGGTTCGATTACGTCACTGGGCGCGCATTACCCCGCCTCCACTGCCCATGGCCGCGTCGGGGTTGGGTGGACGCGGGAGGCCGGGGCGGGGTTCGATCCCAGCTCCCACCCGCTGGGGCGACATCCTCCTCCACCCAAGCCGGCCAGACAGCGCGGCCGCCGCGCCCTCTGCCGCCTCCCCGTCCCCTCCAGCCGGAAAAGGTCACCGCTGCCTGGGTGATCGCGGCTATCTCTGCCCTGCAGGCGGTGCGGCCGCCCTGGGAAAGGTCTCTGCAAGGCGGGGGACTTCATTAGCGGCTTCAACCGCGGTAGATAAGCAAAGGTCAGCTCCCGGCCCAGCCCAGGGAGCTCGGTCCGCCCAGGAGAGCTCACCACAGTCCCCGCCACACACACACCTCCCACACATACGCTCCTCCGTGCCTCAGTTTCCTCAAGTGACTGTCCGGGTGCTGCAGGACGAGAAGAGACAGAAACAGAGCCCGGACTAGGGTGAGCATCTTGGGCGCAAAAACTCAGTCATCAAGATAATCTTCTAATTCAGTATTTGTTAAATATCCAAATTAATGGGAAAAAATCTATGATGAACAAAACATCACATCACAATTTTAAATAAAGACAGGATCCGCCAACACAGGGATTAAGGTGAGATGCGTTGTGCAAGCTCAGAGTCAGATCTTGTGTTTAAAATAATTTTTTTTTTTTTTTTTTGAGACGGAGTCTCGCTCTGGTGCCCAGGCTGGAGTGCAGTGGCGCAATATCGGATCACTGCAAGCTCCGCCTCCCGGGTTCACGTCATTCTCCAGCTTCACCCTCCTGAGTAGCTGGGACTACAGGCGCCCACCACCATGCCCGGCTAATTTTTTGTATGTTTAGTAGAGACGCGTTTTCACTGTGTTAGAGCCAGGATGGTCTCGATCTCCTGACTTCGTGATCCGCCTGCCTCGGCCTCCCAAAGTGCTGGGATTATAGGCATGAGCCACCGCGCCCGGCTAAAATAACATTAAAAATATATATATATTTGTCATTGATTTCGTTTTTATATTAAATTTTAGGTTTTAACTTTTTATTTTATTTTTATTTATTTATTTATTTATTTATTTTTGAGACAGAGTCTGGCTCTGTCGCCGGGGCTGGAGTGCAGTGGCGCAGACTCTGCTCACTGCAAGCTCCGCCTCCCAGGTTCAGGCCATTTTCCTGCCTCAGCCTCCCTAGTAGCTGTGACTACAGGTGCAGGCCACCACGCCCGGCTAATTTTGTTTTTGTGTTTTTAGTAGAGATGAGGTTTCACCGTGTAAGCCAGGATGGTCTCGATCTCCTGACCTTGTGATCCGCCCGCCTCGGCCTCCCAAAGTGCTGAGATTACAGGTGTGAGCCACCGCGCCTGGCCAACTTTTTATGTTTTAAGTATCAATTATGACTGAGCTCTTTGGCCTTCTCTGAAATTTTGCACTCTCATCCCAGGTAGGCCCTAGAACAGCAAGAGGAAAAGAAAACAGGCTCAGAGAGCCCTGAAGTCTAATGGCAGCCCAGCTGTGTGGCATTCAGAAAGTGACTCCACCTGGGTTTGTTCCCTAATGCAACCAACATTATTTCCTCGGTGCAAGGCCCTGGGCTGTAAAAGTGAAAAAAGGTGACTTCATTTATGGTGGCTCACACCTGTAATCCCAGCACTTTGGGAGGTCAAGCTAGGAGGATCGCTTGAGCCAAGGAGTTCAAGACCAGCCTTGGCAACAAAGTTAAGACACCTGTCTCCACAAAAATTAGCCAGGCATGGTGGTGTATGCTTGTAATCCCAGCTACTCCAGAGGCTGAAGTAGGAGGATTGCTTGAACTTGGGAGGTGCAGGTTGCAGTGAACCAAGATTCTGCCACTGCACTCCAGCCTGGGCGACAGAGCGAGACTCTGTCTCAAAAAAAAAAAAAAAAAAGCAATTAGCTAAGCATGGTGGTATGCGCCTGTGGTCCCAGCTACTCTGGAGGCTGAGGCTGGGAGGATTGGTTCAGCTGCAGAGGTGGAGGCTGCAGTGAGCAATGATTGTGTGGTCCAGCCTGAGTCTCAGAAAAAAGAAAAAAGGAAAAAAGAAAAGAAAACAACAGAAAGCAAACAACTCCCTTGACTTTGCATTCTGCCACTGCACTCCAGCCTGGGCGATGTTGCGAGACTTCATTTCAAAAAAGATAAAAAATTAACAAATAATACATAAATAAAGACCTTGCTGGCCGGGCGCGGTGGCTCAAGCCTGTAATCCCAGCACTTTGGGAGGCCGAGACGGGCGGATCACGAGGTCAGGAGATCGAGACCATCCTGGCTAACCCGGTGAAACCCCGTCTCTACTAAAAAATACAAAAAACTAGCCGGGCGTGGTGGCGGCGCCTGTAGTCCCAGCTACTTGGGAGGCTGAGGCAGGAGAATGGCGTGAACCGGGGAGGCGGAGCTTGCAGTGAGCTGAGATCCGGCCATTGCACTCCAGCCTGGGCGGCAGAGCGAGACTCCGTCTCAAAAAAAAAAAAAAAAAAAAAAGACCTTGCTGATAAAACAGGTTGCAGTAAAGAAGCTGTCTCAAACCCACCAAAACCGAGATGGCCACGAGTAACCTCTGGTCCTCACTGCTACACTGCCACCAGCACCATTACAGTTTACAAATGCCATGGCAACGCCAGGAAGTTACTTTGTATGGACTAAAAAGGAGAGGCATGGAATAATCCACCCCTTGTTTAGCATATCATCAAGAAATAATAAGGCTGGGCGTGGTGGTTCACGCCTGTCATCCCAACACTTTGGGAGGCTGAAGCTGGCAGATCACTTGAGGTCAGGAGTTCAAGAACAGCCTGGCCAGCATGGCGAAACCCCGTCTCTACTTAAAATACACAAAAGAAAAAGAAAAAGAAGGCCGGGCGCGGTGGCTCAAGCCTGTAATCCCAGCACTTTGGGAGGCCGAGACGGGCGGATCACGAGGTCAGGAGATCGAGACCATCCTGGCTAACACAATGAAACCCCGTCTCTACTAAAAATACAAAAAAATTAGCCGGGCGAGGTGGCGGGCGCCTGTAGTCCCAGCTACTCGGGAGGCTGAGGCAGGAGAATGGCGTAAACCCGGGAGGCGGAGCTTGCAGTGAGCCGAGATAGCGCCACTGCACTCCAGCCTGGGCGACAGAGCGAGACTCTGTCTCAAAAAAAAAAAAAAAAAAAAAGAAAAAGAAAAAGAAATACAGCCCTTGAGACTGCTCTATGGAGTAGCCATTCTTTTATTCCTTACACATTTGCTCCCACTTTACAGACTCACCCGGAATCCTTTTTTTTTTTTTTTTTTGAGATGGAGTCTCACTCTGACGCCCAGGCTGGAGTGCAGTGGCACGACCTTGACTGACTGTAACCTCCGCCTCCCAGGCTCAAGCGATTCTTCTGCCTCAGCCTCCCGAGTAGCTGCGACTACAGGCGAGCACCACCACACCTGGCTAATTTTGGTATTTTTAGTAAAGATGGGGTTTCACCATATTGGCCAAGCTGGTCTTGAACTGAGCCACCGTGCCAGGCCCTGAATTCTTTCTTGCGTGAGATCCAGGAACCCTCTCTTGGAGTCTGGATCAGGACCCCTTTCCTGTAACATCTTCACCCCAGGATCACGAAGCTGGAGGAACCAGAGCCCATCTCTTTTCATGGGATTTTCCAGTGCCCTGGGTGTGACCCTGGATGGGAGAAGAGGAGAAGCAGCAGCTCCAGTCTGCCTGGAATTGCCAGCTGAGCCCCAGCCCTGACATATCCCCAAGAATTAACGAGACTTCCAGGCAGGCAGTGCCTAAGAATGAATCCCAGCTGGCAATACAAGTCACATCAGGGCCCCAGGACTAGCCATGGGGTCTTCATTGTGGGGAGGGAACTTAGAAGCCCTATTTCCACCTCCTACCCATTTCTCCAATGCCCACAAGTAGCTGGACCAAGCCCAGAGACCATGTCGTCCATCAAAAATATTCAGCTGGACGCGGTGGCTCACACCTGTAATCCCAGCACTTTGGAAGGCCTAGACTGGCGGATCACCTGAGGTCAGCAGTTTGAGACCAGCCTGTCTAACATAGTGAAACTCCATCTCTACACACAAAAGTTAGCTGGGCATGGTTGTGCGCACCCTTAATCCCACCTACTTGGGAGGCTGAGGCAGAAGAATGGCTTGAACCTGGAAGGTGGAGGTTGCAGTGAGCCGAGATCACGCCACTGCAATCCAGGCTGGGAAACAGAGCGAGACTCCATCTCAAAAAAAATTCATTATAAGACTTTGTGACTGGAAATGCAAGGTGGAGGCTGAAATGTTCTATATTTTTATCTGCTGGAGATTGTACAGCATATAGTCGGCCCTCCCTGTATCCACAGATTACACATTGGAAGATTCAACTAACTGCAAATCAAACATTCGAATAGGCGGTGCTCTGGTACTGGTATAAAAATAGGTACATAGGCCGGGTGTGGTGAGTCAAGCCTGTAATCCCAGCACTTTGGGAGGCCAAGGTGGGTGGGTCACCTGAGGTCAGGAGTTCAAGACCGGTCTGGCCAACATGGTGAAACCCTGTCTCTACTAAAAATACAAAAATTAGCTGGGTGCAGTGGTGGGCGCGTGTAATCTCAGCTACTAGGGAGGCTGAAGCAGGAGAATCGCTTGAACCTGGGAGGCGGAGGTGAGCCGAGATCGTGCCACTGCACTTCAGTCTGGGCAACAGAGTAAGACCCTGTCTAAAAGAAAAAAAAGCACATAGACCAATGGAACAGAATAGAGAACTCAGAAATAAACCCAAATACTTGCAGCCAACTGATCTTCAACAAAGCAAACAAAAACATAAAAGTGGGGAAAGGACACCCGTTTCAACAGTAATGCCGGGATAATTGGCTAGCCACATGTAAGCGAATGAAACTGGATCCTCATCTCTCACCTTATACAAAAATCAACTCAAGATGGGTGAAGGACTTAAATCTAAGACTGGAAACTATAAAAATTCTGGAAGATAACATTGGAAAAACCCTTCTAGACATTGGTTTAGGCAAGGATTTTATGACCAAGAGCCCAAAGACAAATGCAGTAAAAACAAAGATAAATTCCTGGGACTTAATTAGACTAAAGAGCTAAGTAACAGTCAGCAGAGTAAACAGACAACCCACAGAGTGGGAAAAAACTCTTCACAATCTAAACATCTGACAAAGGACTAATATCCAGAATTACAGTAAACTCAAACAAATCAACAAGAAGAAAACAAATAATCCCATCAAAAAGTGGGTTTACGACATGAATAGACAAGTCTCAAAAGAACATATACGAATGACCAGCAGACATATGAAAAAATGCTCAACATCACTAATGATCAGGGAGATGCAAATCAAAACCGCAATGTGATACCACCTTAAACTCCTGGAATAATGGCCATAATCAAAAAATCAAAAAAAAAAACAGTAGATGTTGGCATGGATGCAGTGATCAGGGAACGCTTCTACACAGCTGGTGGGAA